GGATTTGTACCTTCAGGCTGAAATTCTTCATTCTGACTCCTCCTTGGCCTTGTTCGTGGACACCTGTGTAGCATCTCCATATTCCAATGACTTTACGTCTTTGACTTACTATCTAATCCGGAGTGGGTAAGAATGTCTTCACAGGGCAGACTTTAACCTTTGCCCGATCACCCAAACACGAGTAGCCCAAAGGCTCAAGGAGCACAGAATTTGGTCCTCGTAGCTCAAACTTAACCAGTGAGGTTGTCATGTCTCGCTAACATACAGGCAGGTGGGTGTCTGATGAATCGAATGGCTCACCACTGGTCACCAGCAGGTTGGCTATAAAATGGGACTAGGCCCCAGATGACTGGACTCGAGGCAAGCCTTAGCATTAAAAGGATGTGGGCGCAGTGGGGAAGAATTAATTTTGAAGCAGATCGAAACTGAGATGCTAGCTCTGACACGTAGCCAGCTGTAGTGCTCTGGGCAGGCAGGCGCACCTCTCTGAGCCATTTTCTTCGCCTATCCAATGAGCAAGGTGGTGCCCACACCCCAGGCTGCTGGGAGGATTAGATGAGAAGAAGAGGTGGACATTTGGGCAAAGAAAATAAAATACATAGCAGGTGGTCCACCATGAATGTCGTACCAAAGGCACCAAAGGTTGACCTACATCCACTAGGTGTGGACAGAGTCCATGGTTCCCACCAGGCTCAAAGATGCAGATGTGAGGCCGGTGGTGCCCAGGCCAGGGTCCATGGTGCCCAGGCGGGGCTGTTTACAGAGTCTTGTTTCCCTGGATGACAGGGCCCTTCTGAGCTCACAGAGGGGTCCGAGGACACCGGGGCATGCAACTCTAATGGCTGCTCTTTTGTCTCTGCCCATTGATGTTTACATCAGTTATTGGCTTATGATTTGATCTCGGCACCCCAGTAACAATTGCCTCACACAGAAGTTGTACTGACAAGGGAAGGCAAACTGCTAGCAATTAGGGATGGGAGGTTGAATGTCACACCTAAAAACAGCATCTCTTTCTGGGCACAACTTTCATGAACGGCTGATTCAATAAACGGGAGTTGAGGTTTGTCTTGCTCACAGTCTATACAGTGGTTCAATGCACAGGAGCCTCCTTGGCAGCCGAGATGGGGAAGAAGCTTACCCAGACTCTCTTTTTACAAATAGTAACAAGATGACATTTGAATTTTATGTCAAATAATTGAGATTAATGCCAATTAGTGAGTGATCAGGTTCTTTTCTGTTTAAGGTTCCTTTGTGCTCAAATTCTGGCGTGTGTGTATATAAAATAGTGCAGTTTTATGGGGCGGGAGGATGTGCATGTGGAGATACCTGTGTCCCAACTGTACTTGGAGCACAGAGACGTGTGGCCTACAACTGGCCTCAACCGAATCACCCTCCTGGATGTCCTTTAGAACAACCTTGAGCTTCATACACCCGCAGAGTCCCCAGAGCAGACTGAGGTGGGTCAGGAGACACAGCCCGGGAAAGGGAAAGGCACCAAAGACACCAGAGGGTAGCCAGGTGTCACCTTGCCTGACCCTAAGACCAAGACAGGAAAGAAAATGCCATCTTCCTTCCTGTCCTCTCTCTGGGCACCTTCTACTCCCTGACTCACCTGGGGAACCTGGGGCCACTGAGCTCACGGTCACTGTGCAGTCTGGGGCCAGCTTGCCAGAGTGGAAACCCTGGACTGACTTGCTGCTTTAAGATGCTGCTGCCACGCACAAGCTCCCGGGGTTTCTTGCAGGGCTGACAGTCACTGTGGGAACCGCCTGTTCCGAAGGAAGGCGGGTGAGGTGAGGCCGGAGGCATGCCCCGAGGACAGGCTGTTGAGGTCCACCCCCAGTGCATCCAGGTCTCGAGGGTGAGAGCCCTGGTGAGTGCCAACAGGTTCCTCCTCCCTTCTTCCAGGTGTGTGAAGGACGAGACCTACAGATCCTACTATCAGCCGTCGCCCCACATCGTCCGCTTCAAATTCAGCTCCTTCCGGTTCCTGAACCGCTTCCCCTCCGTGTACCTGCAGTGTAAGATGGTGGTGTGCAGGGCCCACGACTCCTCCTCCCGCTGCCACCGGGGCTGCGTGGTGAGGTCAAAGAGGGACGTGAGCTCCTACCAGGAGAAGGTGGATGTCATCCTGGGACCCATCCAGCTGCTGCCCCTGCACGCTGAGAAGAGGAGCCTGGGTAAGTGGCCACCCTCCCACCGCAACACCCCTGGGGGCCCGGGCCCATGACCCACAGGGACTTAGGGTGTTTCTCTTGGTGTCGTGTTCCACCTTGAATTGGGCACCTACTGTGCGCCCGGCATGCTGTGCTATGCCTGTTGATACAGAGTCCAACTGCACCTGCCTCCCACCTTCCTCCAAGGGCTCCTGGTCTATGAGGGATTTGGTCAAGAGAGTTCTGACCTGGGAGGCAAACACACCTGACACCTTAACCTCTGGGTTCTGAATGCCTCACCTGTAAGACAAGACTGTTCCTACTTGCCTCTTGGGACTGAGGAGAGGGTTACATAAAACAATGTTAGTTAAATTGCCTTGGCCTCTGTCCGGTACAGTTGCTGAGCCTGATGGACGGTGGCTTTTGATACTACTGTGATTGTCACTGATATTAACAACAGTAATGAGAACGCTATTACTCATGATGGTATTAACCACAATCTGTAGTTCCAGGGACCGGAAAGCAGGGTGGGGGCAGGCTGTGGGGGTGCAGGCAGGACTGGTGTGTCCTGACTGCCACAGAGGCTGACACTAGCCAAGCCATTTCATTTTCTCTACCTGGAGTGGGGACCACGTGTCCTCCTGCGCTGTTTTGTTTTGTGTGTGGATGAGGAAGTGTTTGCAGAGTGAGTCCTAGGATTTCAGGCCCAGGGCAGGACCAGGTCAGCAGATGTGGTGGCTCTGGTGACAGAGGCAGTGGTGGGGTAGCAGTAGGTGTCACAAACCATCCCCTGGGTCATAGGGATTCCCCCGCCTTGGGAGCATCTTTGACTGTTCTCCCCTTGTGTCCCATATTCAGGCTGTCCTCACATTGGGCTGATTCTAGGCTCTTTCCTCAATTACTCATTCATTCCATGTATATCCACTGAATGCCTACTATGTGCTAGGAGACAAATAACTAAAAACAGAAACAGGTCAAAATCCTTGTCCCTGAAAAGCTTAACATCGCAGCAGGAGAAGACCGTGCAGGGTACCTCCAATGGGAGCCGGAGCTGTGTAGACGGAGGCAGGGCTGGGAGATGAGCTCGGGGGGCAACAGGGACCCTGCTCACTCCCCTCCTCTCCCTTCTCTTCCAAGGGGCACCATGGTGGCTGGGGGCCTGGGTACCCCTTGCCTGGGACTCACAAACCCATTTTCCAGCGGCCTCCAGTGCTCCAGCTCTCGCCCCTCCTGCCCACCGGGAGCCTCCGGCCAGGCTGACCTCCCAAAGCCCCACTCCAACTTCCTGCTCACAGACCGTTCCAACTCCCACGGCTGGCCAGACACAGGGAGTCTCCCTGCCCCGCACTCAGCTGCCCTCTGGTGTCTGGCCTCAGCTTCCGGTCTGACACTTCTCCTTCATTCCTTTTTCCCCTCCCACCAGACAACCAGTTCTGATGACATCGCCCTGCCCTGGGACCACCACCCTCACTCGTCTCCTCTCTGCCTCTGCTGGGCTCACCTGGTCCTGAGGTTCTCTCCTCCCCAACCTGCCGCTGTCTGGCGTGGAGGCACAGGCCAGCGCCCAGGGGAGTGCCCCCGGTGCTACCATCTCCGCTGGGGTCTTCCTGGCTGTGGGCCTGGTTCTGGTGGCCTTCACACTTGGGAGGAGCCCTCACGTCACCCGAGGCTGGCCTCTGCGCTCTACCACGTGAATCCAAAGAACGAAGGCATGGGACAGTGCTCAGACCTGGGCCCCACGGGGTCCGGAATCCAAGCAAACAAGCGAGAAATGTGTGCCCTGAGCTTGGCACTCAGCAGCACCTGGACTCTGTTTACTCCGGCCCAGGCACATGGCGGGGGAGGGGCGTTGAGATGGGGGTGCAGAAAGGCAGGGACAGGTTTTCCTTAAACCAGGCTCGGTGCTGGGGCAGAGTGTCAGGCAAGCAGGTGCTGTGTCTAAACCCTGTGTGCCAAACGTTCTCAAGAGCAGAGCTTCCTCTAGAGAGAATTACTCTTCTCACCTTTTGTAAACTCACTTCTTAGACCTGTACTGTATATCTTAACCTCTCAGTTTATAGGACAAGCTGAATAAAGAATTTTTTTCAAAGCATGTATCAGCTGGTCATTGTTTATAGCGGCTCACCTAAGCACTGGGGTCTCTTCAAATTAAGCTAAGTAGGGTGGGCTGTCCCAAGAAATGATCAAGGCCAGGGGCTCTGCCCTGTGGTTTCCAGAACCTTCTTGAGAATGGATAAGGTGTCCACCTTTGTCCTTGGCATGTTTTGGTTCAGCCCGAAGCAGGAAATACTTTTGTTTTTGCCAACAGAATGTGGCACCATGGTGATGTACCAGTTCTGAGTCTGGACTTCAAGGGGCTTTGCAAACTTCCATTTACCGTCTTGGATCCTGCAATGGCCCCGTGAACACACCTGGGTTAATTTGCTGGAGGGAGGAAACCTGGCCCAATCACTCCCATTGATCCAGCTGATCATTGTCAACCCCCAGGAGGAGAGCCAACTACCTGAAGTCAGTTGACTGCAGACACGGGAGGCCCCCACTGAGACCAGCCTCAATTGCTGACCCACAGAATTATAAGTTAAATTAGTGATTGTTGTTTTAAACCACTACATCTGGGGGCCCTATGGGACTAGATAAAGAGGAGGAGCCTGCATCCTGGAAGGGAGGTGGGAGCAAGAACCAGGAGTTGCCTGAAACCAGGAAGCCTTCGCAGGTGGGTCATACCCTGAGGACGCCTGGAGATTGGGCCCCAAAAGAAGACAGGGAGAGAAGGCACCCAGGCAGGCAGAGTTGCAGAAAATAAGGACCAGGACACACAGTTCACCGTGGGCAATCAATAAAACTTTAGTAATGGTGAGATGCAGGTTTTCCCATGTACGTTTTCCAGATGCTCTCTCCTCCCAGGCAACTGGGCTTTGTCACGTCTCTGGGGTGGATGCCTCGTGATATACAGTCCTGGCTCATCAGCATTAAGTCTCCTGGGAATTCAGCCAAGTGAAAAAGATTGCGGTTTGTTAAGCCGGTGATGGACCGTTCCACTTTCTTTGTGGGGAAGAACGGCTTCAGGTCATTGGGCTGGTAGGTTAAATGTTTTCTGGGTTCCTCTGACTTGAACATTACATTCATTTTTATTTCTTGTCTTTTTATGTTTTTTTTCTCTTTCTCCTCTTGCGTGCCATCATCACAGTTGTTGTTGTCCTCACTCTCGTCTTGCCCGGCGTTGCCTCTGGTCGTTGGGCCCAGGTTCCCTCTGGACACAACTGAAGTGTTCCTGACCCTTTCGATGGAGGGTAACTGCAGGTTACTTCTCAGGGCCCGAGCTGACTGCATGCGCTCTATGTGCTTGCTCATGTCGAGCCACTCTCGTTGTGGCATTTTGAACTCTTCGGGGGGCACAACCATCCTGGCCATCCATATTGTTTCTATAGGCCGGTAGGTGGAACAAGTTGAGGAACACAGTTTTTTATATTCCATCACCTGTCTGTAATCTGCAGACAGCAACTGGAGTTCCTTGAGCATTTTCCGTTCCTCCTCTTGCTTATAAGTCAGAAACCTCCTTGATGCTCTGGTGTGAACCCCACCTAAACGCTGACAATGAGGCGAGGGTTGTTAAAGTGTCTCCAGCACAGGAGCAGGGGGTGTCTACAGGAAGAATTAGCTAGTGGCACCTACTCCCATCATTGCTGAGTGTGTCTTAGCCCCTGTGCAGTGGGCAAGAGGGTGATTCTTCAGGGTCAGGCAAGCCTGGGGTCTGATTCTGACTCTCTTTCCATACTAAGAATGTGGAAGAAGTTTATTGACTCACAGGACCACTGTACAGCCTCCGGAAAACATCAGCTCTGAGAGCAGCGAATGCAAGGTAAGAGCTCAAGAAACAGTGCCTCTGTCATTTGCTATCACTTATAGTCACATCCCTAGTTGGGACTTGGAAATAAGAGAGTGTTTTATGATACAAACGTGGAAGCTACTAGTGGACTCAGCCAATGTGAGTCCTGTTTGGGAGACTTATGTCTCTACCACTGGTTGTTTGGGAACCTCTGGTTCCCCCTAGGACAGAGGTGTCTTGTCCATGGGCCACATGCAGCCCAGGATGGCTATGAATGTGGCCCAACAAAAAATCATAAATTTACTTAAACCATTATGAAACTTTTTTTATGATTACATGTTGCAATGAATTTCATGTGTGGCCCAAGACAACTCTTTTTTCAGTGTGGCCCAGAGATGCCAAAAGGTTGGACACCCCTGATCTAGGCCTGCCTTCAGCAGAGCCTCCCGGTGTATAAACTTCAGGACACTTACCAGGATCTCTTTCTCCAAGGGGGAATATTTCCCGAGGGCCATGCGTGGGTCTAATTGACAGAATTGGATCCATGTCCTGGAAGGCAGAGAGACATGTGCATTTGAACTCTGGAGAGGGTCTTCCTAGGTCTCCCTTTAGGAATGAGAGACCTTACAAATAGGTAAGAGAAAGAGAGTCAGAATCAGACCCCAGGCTTGCCTGACCCTGAAGAATCACCCTCTTGCCCACTGCACAGGGGCTAAGACACACTCAGCAATGATGGGAGTAGGTGCCACTAGCTAATTCTTCCTGTAGACACCCCCTGCTCCTGTGCTGGAGACACTTTAACAACCCTCGCCTCATTGTCAGCGTTTAGGTGGGGTTCACACCAGAGCATCAAGGAGGTTTCTGACTTATAAGCAAGAGGAGGAACGGAAAAGAGGAGGATAGCATTATTCAGGCTGGGGCACAGTGACCCAGGTTTCTGCAGGCTCGAGGTGGGCTCCTCCACTTGGCCTTAGTCTGAGATGGACGGGAAGGAATGGACAGGAAACACAGCTACACTCACCCCAAAGGTGAAGCAGAACATTGATCCCCTTGGCAGGACAGGGAGTCTTTAGCCTGAAAAGAATCGCCTGCGTCCAGTGTCCTGGCTGGTACTCCGTGCTTGCTTAGCCTTCCCTCTGCCGTCTTCCTTTCTTGGGCCCCTGGATCTTGAGACCTCTGTTTTCCAATCTTCTGACAGCCACTCTCCCATTCTCTGATCATGCTCTGTCAATAGGCTAGGATGGGAAGTGTCAATGCCTGGAGTTAATCTTTCTCATATAGTTTCATGGGAACTCAAGGGACTAACTCACTAACTCTTCTTGCATCATAACTGCCCCCTTGGGAGACCTATTGTGAGGTCTGAGTTCAGGCATCAAAGGATCCCCTGGGGTCATGTTGGTGCGCAGAGGAACAGAGTGGCCAGGGAGATGATCTGACTGTGTCTTTGCTGCTTACAAGTTCATAAAGACTGCTTGGCTCTTTCAGGATGAAGGTTCAGTCAACTCAAGTCTCTCTGGAATGGGCTTACCTCTCTAATCGTAGTTTGTTATGCTCCGTCTGGGCCCCTATCCATGGTTCTTGAAATGATCTTCTAGGCTGTCTTTCCTACTGCCCCCATATCTTGAATACCTCTCTCCTTTCTGGCAACTTGTTTGTCTTTCAGAATCCATCTACTCCCCTGAGCAGTGAGCCTGCACTTTGATGATTCCAGTCTGGTCATGACCATTTGGGCTGAAGGGAGGGAGGGGAAGGGAGAACCAGAGCCCCGGGGGTCAGCAGCAGTTAGTGAGGCACCCCCAAGGGGAAGGTGAGTCCCAGAAGAGAGGTCTTGGATGAGGTCCAAACATGAGGTCTGACTCTCTTATGCTTGGTGAGTCCCTCCCCTGCTGATCTTGGAAGGAGTGAGCTTGCACTGATCACTCTACAGAGCAAGCAACATCTCTACTAACTCCTGAAGGACAAGTCAGGTGGGTAGGAGGCATGGACCTTCCACACACAGGATGCAGCAAAAGAGGAGAGTCTATGAGAGCCTGGTGTGTTCAGGGAACTGGAAGCAGCTTGGGCCTGCAGGAGGACAGGGGTAGGGAATGTGGTGGAGGAAGAGGCCAGGAAAAGGGTCAGGCAAAGACCAAAAGAGCCTTAGGCCACGCTGAAGGGTTGGCTCTTTTCCCCTGGGAGCGTGAGGCTGGCATAAAAACTCCCCCTGAAGGAGGTGGCATGCTCAGCAGTTTAACTGTTTAAAAAAGTTTATTGAGATTACCATAAAATTCACCTGTTTTAGACATGCAGTTCAATGATTTTTAGTAAATTTTCCAACTTGTGCAATTGTCTCCACTATTCAATTGTGGAACATTTCCATCACCCCCAAAAGATCCTTTATGCCTCTTTACAGTTAATCTACTGACAACTACCTGTCTAACAGTACTTTCTGTCTCTACCAATTTGCCTTCAGATGTCTTCGTGTTAAAACGATCCTTTCCTTTCTAGCTTTAAACTACCCTCTCCTCCTTAGCTTTCTGCTGTGGGGTGGGGTGGGGTTTTTTGGTCCCCTTTAACTGCTAGAGGTACCACACTACGTCCATGCCTGAGACACCTGCCCTCTTCCTTTGAAACCGGAAGTACGTGTCTGAGCTCCCTGAGTTTAATGGCTGCCCTGGAGAGTTGGGCCAGAAATCCCCTTAACTTCCCATAGACCAACACAGAGGTGACTAAGCAGTTCTGAGACTCCGGGATTATGGAGGGAAGGTGTGACCTGTGGTTTCCCTTATGTTTACATAACAGCCTCCTGTGTTAGTCTCGGCGCCAGGCGATCCCAGCCGCAGTTCTGCTGGTCCCACTACAACCAGAGAAGGCAGGAGGCAAGGGGGGTGGGCAGCCTTCCTGTGTTCTGAATGCTCCTTCCTGCTTGTCAGTCCTTGTGAAACCTGGATGCAAACAAAATAGGAGCAAAGGCCCTTCCCCCTGGAGCCACAAGTCAAGATTGTAGGTCTAAGGGGTTACTCTCCCTCCCACGATGGGGAGCTGTAGGAATAGGCAGGGGCCAGCATCCATTCTTGTCTTGCTGTGTCCCTTGCCCCAAGGACATGTTTGATTCAGCTTTGTCCCCTATCCGGGTTGTTCCATGCTCCATCTGAGGAGTAAACAACTGAAAAGAGAACGTGGGAGGAGGGAAATTGGGTCTCTGGGATGTACACTCCATCTAGCTCACCAGGTAACGGGGGCTTACAGGGAGGCAGGGGGCGGCGCTCAGTCCAGCTGTAGAGAATTAAAGAGAAAGGGCTGAAAAGGAGCCGCTCAAGGCCATGTGGGCTGGTGGCAGACGTGGGTCCCCAGAGCAAGGCGGAGCCATTAAATAATAGAGGCTATGCCTGGCCCATTTACTGCTGGGGCGTAGTGACAGGGCAAGACTGGCGTTCGACTGGTGTACGGACAAGCTTGTCACTTATTTTTCTCTTACCTGCAGAAGCACTTTATGGTGATGGGTTAACCATTAAACATTCATTTGGCATGTTTTGCAAGTATTGACATTACTGGCAAAGCCTGCTAATGTAGAAGTTTGTTCTATGAGGATAAGACTGGGTATTTTAGTCTCCTTAAGTGTGGTACTCTCCAAGGGAGAACACTTTTCTCCAGATGGGCTTTCTTTGGTATTCATACACCCATACACACATTCACTCGAGCATGCCGTGAGCTCAGCTCTTTGCTAGATGGTAAGGCTACTAAGATGGACAAGACCAGGTCCCTCCTTTCTGGAGGATCTCACGGAGCGGGGTGAGGCAGGTCAGTGCACAATATAAGTCATGTTATGACAAGTACAAGAAAGGGGTTACCGTACTCTGACAACGCCGGGCAGACTCTTAACAGCCACGGGCAAGAGGGACTTCCCATGGGGCAAAGCTATGGATCTTCAGAGAGAAGACGTATAAGAATTTGGGGAAAGGATATACTTGTACACATTTATCCACCTCCCTGGTTTTTCTGTGAATTTCTGGCATGAACAGACCCTGCGAATGCCTATGGGCCTCGAAGCGGCAGAGGAGATGGGTGAAGAGAAGCAGGTTGAAGCATCTCCTGTGTGGGGAGATTCAGTGTTGGGGAGAGGTCTCTACTTGGCTGCAGAGATGTAAGCAAGGGAGGGTTGGTCACTCCCAACACCTCTGGCTTCTACCAGGGCATGCGTGGCACTTGCCAACAGGAGGAGGGAGGGGAAATCTGTCATTGTCCCAGGAACATTTCCTTCACCCTGGAATCCCAGATTTTTGCGTACCCTCAGTGGCCTGTCTTAAGCAGTTCCCCTGACGCCTGACTGTGGCATCAGAGCGTCCCTGCTGAAGACACCAGCTCTGGCCACTCAGCTTCTCTCTGTCCTGTCCCTCCAGGAGACTCACTGGGGCCAGTGCTCTGTCCCCAGGGGGGACTTGGCGATTGAACGTCCTTGTTCCCAGCCTGACTTACAGAGGAAGCAAACCCTACTCCTCTATGTCCAGAATATAATTTTATGCCAGAAACGCAAAGAGACAGAACTTGGGCAGGTCCTGGGCCACCTAGAGCAAGTTGAGATCAGATGAAGGAAGACCTCCAAGGCAGCTCCTGGCTTCTCCTAATCATCTGGATTTTAGAATTTTCTCTGAAATTTAACTCATTTGAATGTGATCTGTCAACGTCACTGTAAGAAAAGTGTCATTTAAAAAAAATGAGACAACATTGGTTAATCACATTATATAGGTGTCAGGTGTTTGACACTATAATTGGCGTGCTCATTTTAAACGTAAAAAATGGTACTCATTCATAGTCCTGGCATTCAGACTTGAGAAGTACAGTGTCTTTACTACAACAGGACACATTTGGGAATTGTTCTTGGCTTAAGGTGCAGGCAGGGGTGGTCCAGCAGGTCTGAGATATTAGACAATGAAGATAGGACAAACCTTAACTCCTTTCAATGTAAATGCCACTAATATCTCTCTGGCAGAATCCAGTGCAAATGATTCTCATCTTTTCAGTGGTCATCATTTAGAACCCAACTATGTCAGTGTTAAATGTTGCTATTAAGGTTGTAATTTAAGATGAAGCTTTCCTTATTCCGTGGTCGCACCTTCTATCTTTCCTTCCTTTTACTTTTGCAACCTAAGTCTCATGAAGCTTGGATCACAGTCCTTTCAGGCGGAAAATGGGGGGTTCCTATGAGGACTTTCCCTTGGGGTGACTTCTTCTGCAGGTTTGTTAAACATCCCGTAGCTCTAACATTCATGTAGGTCTTTCTTGCCTTTCTCCTGCGGTCATTTAGTCAAGTGGCCTCTTGCTGTGCTTCTCTGTGTGCAAATGATGTTGGCTTGGGAGGGGGCATAATTTAGAAAAGACTAATTGAAAAATAACTACACTTGTAACTATAGACCATGCCTTTAAGATATTCTAAGCTTATGCAACTCCTATGATGATTAAGCATGGAAAAATAAAATAAAAGAAACATAGATTAGATGTAAAAGCCACCAAAACACTACCATGACATTCCTCTCCTTTGGGAAGTTTGTATTTATGGTTTATTTTTAAAACAAGTTTCTCCAAGAACAATATACTTATCTGAACTATGGCCTTATGTAACAATTATTGGGGGAAATATTCCACTATTCTAAAAGATAAGGAAGCAGGGAAGAATGTGTGCTCCTCAGATGCCAAGAACTATACAGAGGTGGTGGTCTCCAAACTTTCACAACTTATTCCAACGGTTTTTGTTCTGTGAACTTCAGCAAATTCTTTTCCAGATATTGAAAAGGTCAGTTGTAGTTTCAAGGACATTGGTTTCAGGCACATTAAAGCAATATGAGTTTTTTTAAGCGCACGGGGAAAATAAACAGTGATTTTACCTGACTGTCGCTTCTCGCCAGACTAGGAGTAGTCAGCGCACAAGGTCTCACCCAGGTTCCCATGTGCTGCGAAGGTGGCTGCAGTCACCGCCTGCCACAGCTCCTGGGGACGACATGCTGTTGACAAAGAGTAAGAGGACTGTTGTTCTGCAACTTCAGTTGATCTGGTTCTGCAAATACTTCAGACTCCAAGCAATCTTTTAAATTCTGGACTTTTGAATAAAACGTAAAGCATTAATATTGTAAAATAATATGGAACAGGACAGGGGAGCTAGAAGTCAGGATAGAACTCAGTTTGAGCCAAAGTAAATCACCATAGGAGCCTCCAGGATGTAGATTTTGTTTTATTCTACCAAGGCC